TCTATAGTCTAGTCTATAGTCTAGTCTATAGTCTAGTCTATAGTCTAGTCTATAGTCTAGTCTATAGTCTAGTCTATAGTCTAGTCTATAGTCTAGTCTATAGTCTAGTCTATAGTCTAGTCTATAGTCTAGTCTATAGTCTAGTCTATAGTCTAGTCTATAGTCTAGTCTATAGTCTAGTCTATAGTCTAGTCTATAGTCTAGTCTATAGTCTAGTCTATAGTCTAGTCTATAGTCTAGTCTATAGTCTAGTCTATAGTCTAGTCTATAGTCTAGTCTATAGTCTAGTCTATAGTCTAGTCAGTATAGTCTATAGTCTAGTCTATAGTCTAGTCTATAGTCTAGTCTATAGTCTAGTCTATAGTCTAGTCTATAGTCTAGTCTATAGTCTAGTCTATAGTCTAGTCTATAGTCTAGTCTATAGTCTAGTCTATAGTCTAGTCTATAGTCTAGTCTATAGTCTAGTCTATAGTCTAGTCTATAGTCTAGTCTATAGTCTAGTCTATAGTCTAGTCTATAGTCTAGTCTATAGTCTAGTCTATAGTCTAGTCTATAGTCTAGTCTATAGTCTAGTCTATAGTCTAGTCTATAGTCTAGTCTATAGTCTAGTCTATAGTCTAGTCTATAGTCTAGTCTATAGTCTAGTCTATAGTCTAGTCTATAGTCTAGTCTATAGTCTAGTCTATAGTCTAGTCTATAGTCGTCTATAGTCTAGTCTATAGTCTAGTCTATAGTCTAGTCTATAGTCTAGTCTATAGTCTAGTCTATAGTCTAGTCTATAGTCTAGTCTATAGTCTAGTCTATAGTCTAGTCTATAGTCTAGTCTATAGTCTAGTCTATAGTCTAGTCTATAGTCTAGTCTATAGTCTAGTCTATAGTCTAGTCTATAGTCTAGTCTATAGTCTAGTCTATAGTCTAGTCTATAGTCTAGTCTATAGTCTAGTCTATAGTCTAGTCTATAGTCTAGTCTATAGTCTAGTCTATAGTCTAGTCTATAGTCTAGTCTATGTCTAGTCTATAGTCTAGTCTATAGTCTAGTCTATAGTCTAGTCTATAGTCTAGTCATAGTCTAGTCTATAGTCTAGTCTATAGTCTAGTATATAGTCTAGTCTATAGTCTAGTCTATAGTCTAGTCTATAGTCTAGTCTATAGTCTAGTCTATAGTCTAGTCTATAGTCTAGTCTATAGTCTAGTCTATAGTCTAGTCTATAGTCTAGTCTATAGTCTAGTCTATAGTCTAGTCTATAGTCTAGTCTATAGTCTAGTCTATAGTCTAGTCTATAGTCTAGTCTATAGTCTAGTCTAGTCTAGTCTATAGTCTAGTCTATAGTCTAGTCTATAGTCTAGTCTATAGTCTAGTCTATAGTCTAGTCTATAGTCTAGTCTATAGTCTAGTCTATAGTAGTCTATAGTCTAGTCTATAGTCTAGTCTATAGTCTAGTCTATAGTCTAGGCTATAGTCTAGTCTATAGTCTAGTCTATAGTCTAGTCTATAGTCTAGTCTATAGTCTAGTCTCTAGTCTATAGTCTAGTCTATAGTCTAGTCTATAGTCTAGTCTATAGTCTAGTCTATAGTCTAGTCTAGTATAGTCTAGTCTATAGTCTAGTCTATAGTCTAGTCTATAGTCTAGTCTATAGTCTAGTCTATAGTCTAGTCTATAGTCTAGTCTATAGTCTAGTCTATAGTCTAGTCTATAGTCTAGTCTATAGTCTAGTCTATAGTCTAGTCTATAGTCTAGTCTATAGTCTAGTCTATAGTCTAGTCTATAGTCTAGTCTATAGTCTAGTCTATAGTCTAGTCTATAGTCTAGTCTATAGTCTAGTCTATAGTCTAGTCTATAGTCTAGTCTATAGTCTAGTCTATAGTCTAGTCTATAGTCTAGTCTATAGTCTAGTCTATAGTCTAGTCTATAGTCTAGTCTATAGTCTAGTCTATAGTCTAGTCTATAGTCTAGTCTATAGTCTAGTCTATAGTCTAGGCTAAGTCTAGTCTATAGTCTAGTCTATAGTCTAGTCTATAGTCTAGTCTAGTCTAGTCTATAGTCTAGTCTATAGTCTAGTCTATATTCTAGTCTATAGTCTAGGCTATAGTCTAGTCTATAGTCTAGTCTATAGTCTAGTCTATAGTCTAGTCTATAGTCTAGTCTATAGTCTAGTCTATATTCTAGTCTATAGTCTAGTCTATAGTCTAGTCTATAGTCTAGTCTATAGTCTAGTCTATAGTCTAGTCTATAGTCTAGTCTATAGTCTAGTCTCTAGTCTATAGTCTAGTCTATAGTCTAGTCTATAGTCTAGTCTATAGTCTAGTCTATAGTCTAGTCTATAGTCTAGTCTATAGTCTAGTCTATAGTCTAGTCTATAGTCTAGTCTAGTCTAGTCTATAGTCTAGTCTATAGTCTAGTCTATAGTCTAGTCTATAGTCTAGTCTATAGTCTAGTCTATAGTCTAGTCTATAGTCTAGTCTATAGTCTAGTCTATAGTCTAGTAGTCTAGTCTATAGTCTAGTCTATAGTCTAGTCTATAGTCTAGTCTATAGTCTAGTCTATAGTCTAGTCTATAGTCTAGTCTATAGTCTAGTCTATAGTCTAGTCTATAGTCTAGTCTATAGTCTAGTCTATAGTCTAGTCTATAGTCTAGTCTATAGTCTAGTCTATAGTCTAGTCTATAGTCTGTCTATAGTCTAGTCTATAGTCTAGTCTATAGTCTAGTCTATAGTCTAGTCTATAGTCTAGTCTATAGTCTAGTCTATAGTCTAGTCTATAGTCTAGTCTATAGTCTAGTCTATAGTCTAGTCTATAGTCTAGTCTATAGTCTAGTCTATAGTCTAGTCTATAGTCTAGTCTATAGTCTAGTCTATAGTCTAGTCTATAGTCTAGTCTATAGTCTAGTCTATAGTCTAGTCTATAGTCTAGTCTATAGTCTAGTCTATAGTCTAGTCTATAGTCTAGTCTATAGTCTAGTCTATAGTCTAGTATAGTCTAGTCTATAGTCTAGTCTATAGTCTAGTCTATAGTCTAGTCTATAGTCTAGTCTATAGTCTAGTCTATAGTCTAGTCTATAGTCTAGTCTATAGTCTAGTCTATAGTCTAGTCTATAGTCTAGTCTATAGTCTAGTCTAGTCTAGTCTATAGTCTAGTCTATAGTCTAGTCTATAGTCTAGTCTATAGTCTAGTCTATAGTCTAGTCTATAGTCTAGTCTATAGTCTAGTCTATAGTCTAGTCTATAGTCTAGTTAGTCTATAGTCTAGTCTATAGTAGTCTATAGTCTAGTCTATCGTATAGTTATAGTTAGTATAGTCTAGTCTATAGTCTAGTCTATAGTCTAGTCTATAGTCTAGTCTATAGTCTAGTCTATAGTCTAGTCTATAGTCTAGTCTATAGTCTATCTATAGTCTAGTCTATAGTCTAGTCTATAGTCTAGTCTATAGTCTAGTCTATAGTCTAGTCTATAGTCTAGTCTATAGTCTAGTCTATAGTCTAGTCTATAGTCTAGTCTATAGTCTAGTCTATAGTCTAGTCTATAGTCCTAGTCTATAGTCTAGTCTATAGTCTAGTCTATAGTCTAGTCTATAGTCTAGTCTATAGTCTAGTCTATAGTCTAGTCTATAGTCTAGTCTAGTCTATAGTCTAGTCTATAGTCTAGTCTATAGTCTAGTCTATAGTCTAGTCTATAGTCTAGTCTATAGTCTAGTCTATAGTCTAGTCTATAGTCTAGTCTATAGTCTAGTCTATAGTCTAGTCTATAGTCTAGGCTATAGTCTAGTCTATAGTCTAGTCTATAGTCTAGTCTATAGTCTAGTCTATAGTCTAGTCTATAGTCTAGTCTATAGTCTAGTCTATATTCTAGTCTATAGTCTAGGCTATAGTCTAGTCTATAGTCTAGTCTATGTCTAGTCTATAGTCTAGTCTATAGTCTAGTCTATAGTCTAGTCTATATTCTAGTCTATAGTCTAGTCTATATCTAGTCATAGTCTAGTCTATAGTCTAGTCTATAGTCTAGTCTATAGTCTAGTCTATAGTCTAGTCTATAGTCTAGTCTAGTCTAGTCTATAGTCTAGTCTATGGTCTAGTCTATAGTCTAGTCTATGTTGTTTCTATAGATTTACATGTACTCAGGATTCTGATGTTTAATTTTATTTTAATAGGTTCGATATTATAGAAAATTTAAATATATATACTTTTCTTCTTTTAGATTAATTGTTTGGGACTTAAGTGGTATTAAATTTCATAAATACAAACAGAAATGTAATATAATATTTATTTAATAAAACGTTTACAAAAAAATGCATAAAATGACTTATTTATTTGTTTTATTCAGTTTAAATGACAAGAAAAGAGTTTAAATTTAAAAAATCCGTTAAATTTTTCATGTAAATATTCATAAGTCTGGCAACGCTGTTACAACCTAATAACGGCGGCCATCTATTGGTTGCCTATTGGCTATTATTGCAAACTGCATGACAGTCTGGCAATTTGGCTGAAAAATGACATGCCACTATGGAAAACGATCTGGCAACTCTAGTAATTTTTAAAATTTTGTACAGAGTTGCCAGATGTTTTTCCATAGCGGCATGTCATTTTTGCGTCAATGTTGCCAGACTGACATGTTTTGCAAAACTAGCCAATAGGCTACCAATAGATGGCGCTAATTTTAGGTGTTAATAGGGTTGCCAGACTTTTGAAAATTTACATGAACTTTTTAACGTTTTTTTTTTAATTTAAACTTAATAAAAGGCTTTAATAAGTAATTTAAATGAAAAATGAGAGATTTTTAATATTAAATATAAATTTTATTTTTATTATTTATGTAGATATATTTAAAGTTAACAGTTTTTGATTTAAATTATAAAAAATACAAATATAAAAAAATTAAATACGTACATTATTATAAGTAATAAATTTAGATAGAGACAGAGTTAATAATCAGTAAAAACAAATAACAATAATACAAAGTGAATCAATAAAAAAATACTTGGTTTTTAGGGTTTTTTATATAAAATTTGTTTAAAAAACAAGATTTAACACAAATTCTGTTGGATTTAAAAGCTTAAAATAATTCTCAAGTTTTTCTAATTATGGTTAGTATCTTGTTGATTTTAAATAATAAATATAAATGTTTTACAATTATTATTATTATTGTTAATATTAAACTATAACTTAAAAACTAAGAAATTTTGTTGATTTTTTTTAATCATATTTATAAAGTTAAAGAAAGCTTAGTGATAGATAAATAGCAAATCTTTATAGGTATTACATTTAATAGAAGAGTAGAAGGACAGCGTATAAAAACAATACTTTTGAAAATAACAAGAAATTTTGGAAATTATTAGGAAATAGGTTTTTGTTACAAAAGTTTTGTTACAATAGTAATATTGCCTTAATGTTTCTTTTATAAAAACTGTTATATTTGTTTATTAAATAGTAATTATTTTAAAGTTATTTATTTAAAATAGTAGTTTAGTTAATTAGTTTAAAAAATTGTAATTTATAAAAAATATCATAGATTTCAACAAAATACAATAAAAGCACTTTAGTTTTGCACTTCAAAGGCAATATGGTGATGAATTCAGAACATCTTCCTTTCATTTGTGATGATGGTTTAATTGGTTTTTGCAGAAGTGTAACAATGATTCTCAACCGCTGTAATTAAAACAAATTAAAATTTTCAAGGTTCAATTTTAAATTTAGTAATAAAATTAATAAATAGTTAGATTTTTCATAAAAAAGCGTTTAATATTTATGAAATTATGTTCTTTCCTTTAAACTAAGGAATTAAATTTCTCTTATTTTTACGTTATTAAGCATTAATTTAAACGAAACAAAACAAATAAAAAATAAAACTTAAAAAAAAATATTTAAAATGTATCTTACTTGGTGCCTTTTATCATTTTTTCACAGTGATCTTCATAAATTCCTAGAGTTCATGCATAGTAGTAGTAGTACAAGGTAGGTTGTATGTAGGTTTTTTGATTTTGTTTTTAACGTGCATCGTTTGTTTTTCTTACTTTATTTTTTTAGCATTCTTACAAAAAATCGTTCATATTGATGTAATTTTTAAAACTAAATTAAAAATTTCGTTAATGCTTTTCTTTCATTTTCGCTTACATAAAAAAATAATACAAAAAAAATACAATACAAAAAAGAAACATACAGACAAACATTTAGATGAATAAATGTGTGTGCAAAATGAAAATGAAATTATGAAAAATTTTGTGTTTTTTTGGTGGTGCACGAATAAGGTAGGTAAGTTTTATTTTAAGCCGATCATAAGCTAAAGAGAAACTACACTAATTATATGGATGTTCTTGTTGGTTTTTAGTTTTTAGTTTTTTTGTTTAATATGTTTTTGAAATGAAAGACAAAATATTTAAATTAAATGCCTTTGAAAACTACCACTTATGAAGAAGAAACAGAAAAGGTGTTACCCCTCACAGAACCAGAGCCTATGAGAAAATCTCTATTACACACTTTACAAGAATCCCAAAATCCTGAAACCTTTTCCGACAGTTTCAACAGTAGTGGTGAAGAAGTTGAGGCAGAAAACCTAAAGCAAGTGAGGGAAAACTTCCTCTCCAATAAAACCCACTTATTTCAAACTATTGGCTCAAAGATAAAGGCGAAATGGTTAAAAAAAGATTCTCACACCAGATGTGGAAAAAATTAATTTGCAAATTTAATGCTAAATTTAAACAGTTCCAAATTCTTTGATATTGGTGAAAAAACAAATAATTTCCTTAAAAATGAATCTCTAACATCTGGTGTTAACCAACCACAGCCAAAACCAAGAGCAAGAATTTCGCCTATAGTGGAAAAGGAGATTAATAGCAAAAAAGCTTTAGAGGAAGAAGAAAATCGCAAACGTGAAGCTGAAGATGCTCATTTAGAAGCCGAATTAAAAGAAAATGAAAGGCGTCTTTAAAAAGACAGAATCTTTACAAGAAGAATTACGTGACCTGTTTATAGCCTGGTCTATAGCCTAGTCTATAGTCTAGTCTATAGTCTAGTCTATAGTCTAGTCTATAGTCTAGTCTATAGCCTAGTCTATAGTCTAGTCTATAGTCTAGTCTATAGTCTAGTCTATAGTCTAGTCTATAGTCTAGTCTATAGTCTAGTCTATAGTCTAGTCTATAGTCTAGTCTATAGTCTAGTCTATAGTCTAGTCTATAGTCTAGTCTATAGTCTAGTCTATAGTCTAGTCTATAGTCTAGTCTATAGTCTAGTCTATAGTCTAGTCTATAGTCTAGTCTATAGTCTAGTCTATAGTCTAGTCTATAGTCTAGTCTATAGTCTAGTCTATAGTCTAGTCTATAGTCTAGTCTATAGTCTAGTCTATAGTCTAGTCTATAGTCTAGTCTATAGTCTAGTCTATAGTCTAGTCTATAGTCTAGTCTATAGTCTAGTCTATAGTCTAGTCTATAGTCTAGTCTATAGTCTAGTCTATAGTCTAGTCTATAGTCTAGTCTATAGTCTAGTCTATAGTCTAGTCTATAGTCTAGTCTATAGTCTAGTCTATAGTCTAGTCTATAGTCTAGTCTATAGTCTAGTCTATAGTCTAGTCTATAGTCTAGTCTAGTCTATAGTCTAGTCTATAGTCTAGTCTATAGTCTAGTCTATAGTCTAGTCTATAGTCTAGTCTATAGTCTAGTCTATAGTCTAGTCTATAGTCTAGTCTATAGTCTAGTCTATAGTCTAGTCTATAGTCTAGTCTATAGTCTAGTCTATAGTCTAGTCTATAGTCTAGTCTATAGTCTAGTCTATAGTCTAGTCTATAATCTAGTCTATAGTCTAGTCTATAGTCTAGTCTATAGTCTAGTCTATAGTCTAGTCTATAGTCTAGTCTATAGTCTAGTCTATAGTCTAGTCTAGTCTATAGTCTAGTCTATAGTCTAGTCTATAGAGTAGTCTATAGTCTAGTCTATAGTCTAGTCTATAGTCTAGTCTATAGTCTAGTCTATAGTCTAGTCTATAGACTAGACTATGCTCTAGTCTATAGATTAGTCTAATCTATAGTCTAGTTTATAGACTAGGAACATTAGCTACCCTTATGTATGTATGTATGAATATATATCGATAATATTGGCAAACGATAACGTATTGAATATTAAGCTTTTGAAAATATGTTAATGCAAAACGTGCAAATGCAACAGAAAAACTCAACATGCTTATTTTTGAAATAGTTACCTTAATCCTCTAAGAATTTATGCACAATTTATGATTTAAAAAGAAATTGTCTTTCAAAAACTTGCCATCAAATTAAAACAAACTTAACAAAAACATAAAATTAAAAATTATATAAAAAATAATCTAGTCACATCAAATAATTTTAGCAAAACAAAAAGCATATAAAAAAAGGTAAAGTGAAAAGATAAACAACAAGAAACTAAACTGAATCTTTAAAAATACATGCTTAATTAAGCCAAAGAAAAAGTTAAAACAAGAAACTTACCTCTTAGCAGAAGTTGTTCGTGAGTAGGGATTTTGTAAGATTTTGGGATGTGTTTCCATAACTCTTAATAATAAATTGTCTAAATAATCTTCAAGTTCTTTGACACGTTGTCTTTGTATTAAGGCTTCATTTTCCATGCCATTGGCTATAAGCATAAGTTCCTAAAGTAAACAAAAAATAATATAAATTAAATTAAAATTTTTAAAATGAAAAATTATAATAAAATACCTCTCTTGATTTGCCTTCATATTTTTTGGCTAATGCGGCTGAGATTTCAGCACGTCTTTCCGCTTGTGTGGTGGCTTTTTCATGGCCTATAATAATGCGTTCATTTTGTTTGGGACTAGGCGTAGAGGCGTTACTAATCGTTTGTTTTTCTATATAAAATGAAGTAAAGAAAATTTAGCTTAATAAATTTTACTTTTAACTTAGTAATTATAACCATAGCAATAAATAAAGCAAATAAACATGCGTAGTAAATGAGTGTTATGAATGTTTTCTTTTGTGTTTGTGGTGCAAATAGACCAAACAATTTACAAAATTATTATAATTAGCATTCCAAATTGTGTTTTTGAATAGTTTCTACTGAATAAGGACAAATTACAAATGCAACATCGTTAGATATTAAATAAAATGTGTAAAGAATTTTGTTTATAACTTAAAAAAAAGAAACGGTAACAATTGGATAGACAATATCTTCAGTGGGATTTTATTTTGGTGGGGGGAAACAAAATAAACATGTAAGGATTCTGGCATGGAAATAAAAATTAATAAAACAAATTTTTATTAAGGTGTTTTTCTTGCCACAAACACAATAACATTTATATTCGCTCAAAACGCTGATTTAATTTGTTTTGTTTTCTTTGCTTTATTTGTTTTTCCACTGCAATTCTCTCACGCTCACCTCGGTTTATGTTGAATTGGCGTTCTTTTTTATTATTGATTTCTAGTTTCTTTTCCTCTTTATATTGTTCTTTATTATTGACCAAAGGTTCAATGATTTTTTTGTGGCTTTTCTTCGGGTTTATCTTCTTGTGACACTAGACGTTTGGAGAAATTTAAAATTCTAAAATCTTCTTCACGACGTTTGGCTTCTCGTCTCTTTTCCTCTTCTTCTTTCTCACGCAATTCTTTTTGTAAAGCTTCTTCCTCTTCTTTAAGGCGTCTTTCATTTTCTTTTAATTCAGCTTCTAAACGAGCATCTTCGGCGTCACGTTTGCGTTTTGCTTCTTCCTCTAAAGCTTTTTTGCTATTATCCTCCTTTTCCACCATAGGCGAAATTCTTGCTCTGGGTTTGGGCTGTGGTTGGTTAACACCAGATGTTAGAGATTCATTTTTAAGGAAATTATTTGTTTCTTCACCAATATCAAAGAATTTGGAACTGTTTCTCTGTTCAAATTTAGCAAAGGAAGCATTAAATTTGGCAAATTCATTTTTATCCACATCTGGTGAGAGTAGGGAATCTTTTTTAACAATTTCGCCATTGTCACTTGGAGTCAATAGTTTGAGATCAGTGGGTTTTATTGGAGAGGAAGTTATTACCTTGGATTTTTCCTCACTTGCTGGTCTCAAAGGAGTCACAACAACTTGTTTTGGTTTTTCTGCCTCAATTTCTTCATCACTGCTGCTTGAACTATCGGAGAAACTTTCAGGAGTTTGTGATTCTTGTAAAGTGGGTAAAAGAGATTTACTCATAGGCTCTGGTTCTGTGAGGGGTAACTCCTTTTCTGTTTCTTCTTCATAAGTGGTAGTTTTCAAAGGCACCGCCACCGGCTCCCAGGATCGGCGCTTTAACGAATCAGAATTACCAGACTCAGCACTACGTCCATATAATTTAGATTCCCATTCATCCAATTCTGAGTTACTTTTGCCATTTGTTTTCATTTCGCCTCCATCCATTTGAGGTGTGCGTGGAGGTTTTGAAGGAGGTGGTAAAGTACGCGCTCTTATGCTAAATTCATTTTCAATTTCTTCCAATTCTGGATCCACACTA